TTTGCATTTGGTTGTCTCCCTTCCCCACAGAGCTATGACCATAAGTTCATAAAACTTCTATAGACCATAACATTGTATAGAAAATGCAAGAACTTTTATTTTTTTTCAATTCCTTCCAAATTTGGTAAGGTAATACTACAAGTAATAATGTTTAACATATATAACAGTTTCTTTTGTCAGGTTTCAACTTTCCCCTTTTTGAACTTTAACCATTATGGTACCAGATACTGCTATACCAGATACCTAAACTACTGGTGGATCTAAATGAAAATTGCTAATAACAATCCTTACAGCTTATTCATTCTGACCCTTTAAAAAGAAGATATGGCCCTTTGTTGAACAGGCAGCCATCTTGAATTTAAGTTAAAGTTAGTTAGTGCTATTTCAAAATTTGAAGGTTCCCCATGATCACTTGTTATGCATATCGTTTTTTTGGTGACAGGCATCCATCTTCAATTTTAACACTGAAGGTATTTTAGTGCTATTTCTCAGGAATGACTTGAGGGATCTTTCTCAAATTTGATATGTAGGTTCCCTTTGATCCCTCATTGTGCATGTTATCTTTTGAGACTGATCATAAAATCAAAATGGCCAAAGGAAGAACTTCATATTGCAAATCAATATTGGTTCTATTTCTTTCACATTAAGTACTGGACTATTAAATATGTGAAACGACAAACTCACTTTCAAGGTTGTCTGTTATACACAGCAGTATTAGATATAGATCAAAAGTAACCTCAAGGTGCAAACAGATTTATAGAGAAAAGAAGAGAAAAGATCAAACTGACAGAGAAGTAATGAATATGGTACAATGGTGGGCGCCAAAATTCCTCTGGGGTCTCTTGTTTATATTTGTGATTTTTTTAATGTTTTATTTCTAATGTTTTAATGCATTTCCACACATAACGATTGCTGTTAACTGTCAAGAATAAGTTCAGAACATGGAGAAAGTACATTTTAATGAGTGGATGTGAACTTTGCCTGGTTAATGAATTAAACTCGGATACAAGTATGTGATAAAATATCCTGGACCATTTCCTGTTTTTAAAAAAATGTTACCTGATACAAACCCAACAAAATATAAGAAATTGATGTAGTTAGTAATCACTGCTGTCATTTTTTTGTATAGGCTGCCATCAGGAAGGCGCTTTACGTTACTGGATGTACCAGTTCAAAGGGATATCTTCTAAACAGAATTGATGTGGAGGTAAATATCTTTATTTCTTAACCTTGATTCAGTTCAATGAAAAGTGTGTTGGAAAAAAAGTTCACAAAAAATAAATGTGTGACTTTATCGCCGCAGTTGACTTTTGCTATTGGTTTTCATAATTAGCATGTGTGTATGATCATCAGATGCTTTTGTTTTAAATTGTTTGTGTTTTGTGAAAATTGGTGTGAAGTTAGCAAGTTTGTGTACCGCGAAGAGTCAAGGTAGGGTGATACTATTAACCGGCAGGAATTTACAAGGTGACATCCATGCGAATTGAACCGATAATGATAAAAGTTTAAAAAATAATTATTTACGGGTTCAAAACAGCCAAATACATTCCGATCTTTTTCTTTTCAAAGGAGAATCGCTGAAATCAAAAATTTTTGGTTTTCTCCATGTCTCGTGAATTCGGCTGTTTGCGTTCCTCGTCGGACCTATTTGATTGACACGTGAAAAAATATCTGTTGCAGCTTAGTCAACGTNTATGGTGATACTATTAACCGGCAGGAATTTACAAGGTGACATCCATGCGAATTGAACCGATAATGATAAAAGTTTAAAAAATAATTATTAATGGGTTCAAAACAGCCAAATACATTCCGATCTTTTTCTTTTCAAAGGAGAATCGCTGAAATCAAAAATTTTTGGTTTTCTCAATGTTTCGTGAATTTGGCTGTTGGCGTTCCTTGTCGGACCTGTTTGATTGACACGTGAAAAAATATCTGTTGCAGTTTGGTCAACGTTTTATTGGAAAATGATCATACAGAGTGATGGGTTGACTTTCATGTCATTCTGACTTATTTCTAGATTTAATTGCTATTTTATTTTTTTTATTTTCACAGGTAAAGGCTCTTGTGTCCAATATCGACACAGAGGACAAGAAAGTTATGAAGGGCCTTAAAAGGAAAATTCAAAACAAAATCAACTATTTAAGGAAGAGAATGCACTCTCTGTATGTATGTATTTTTATGTATTAGGAAGTAAAAAGTAATTACTAAGG